GTCATCCTGGAGGACCTGACAAAAGACATGCCTGTTACTAGAAGGCATCTTGGCTCCACACAGAGGTGGACGGAGACAGCTTCGTTTCAATAAGCAAACAGGCAAACAGATTTCTCAACCTGCTCTAGCAAACAGGCAAACAAATTTCTCAAGGCCCTAAACCCAGATGAGCAACCCCAAATACACCATTATGAGAAGGAAACCAAACGATTCTGTTTGCATTCTAGCTTTGCCTGTGACTAGTGCAGCCTTAGGCAGGTGTGTTAATATCTCCGGGTTTCCGTTTCCTCTTCTGGAAAAAGAGGTAACGTAAATCCTTATCCTAACCACCTGTGCCATGAGCAGCAAATGCAATTGCTCTTGTGAAAGTTTTGTAACTGATGCACTTCTGTGTAAGAGATGGTCCCCTCACTGATCACAGCAGGCAAATATGGGAAAAGCCCTCTGACGGGAGATGGAAACTCCTGTCTGACAGCTTTGTGCTGGAGGCCTCAGAACCCGGCCAGCGTTCACCATGATATTGTCGTTATTGGACTTTGAAAAGCCTGTGAAAGTTTAATCGGTGCTCATTACTGAAATTCTACTTAATTGCTGCTTCTGCGGCTAATTTTTGCTTTGTGTTCATTTCCACATCATCTGCAATGAATATTTACTCAATTTTTGCTTAAATAGCTTACATAACACGAGATATAAACCCTTCTCTGCAAACACGTGAATCAGACCTGTTTATATTTATTTTCTACTATTTCTGTGTAATGGATTTTAATATCATCTCTTTATATAAATAAAGAAGATGTAAATTTAAACACTCTGACCTTTGGTAAATCTTAACGGTTGGTCCCTAAGTCGCTCCTATAAGTGCTTGCAAATGTTTCCAATTTCAGCACTGCTTTCATCTTGAAAACACAAAAAAAGATTTCTATTATTATTCCTTCTTTGTTTTTCATTCCCTGCTATGAATTTCACTTCACCACTTCCCTATTCATTACATTCTTGCACCTCACTGAGTTAATAAATTCTTTTGACACCTACTGCCCCTTCCTTTTCTTGCGATCCATCCCCTAAGGATGGCGCCCATCAATATTGCATGCCAGGGGTATGCTTGGGGAGAGCAGGTCTGACAGCTCCCTGGGCCAGCAGGGAGTCTTCTCCCTTCTGTCCCTGCTCAGTGATGAGAAGAACCCCTCCTCCTTCCGCCTCAAGCACCTGCTGCTAACAGCAGACTGAGGGACAGATGTTTCCAATCCTCAATCGTATTGCAAGGACCACTCGAAATGGTTTCCACTTTAGTTTCCTTCCTTAAAAGTTTAATGCTCCATCCACACATACAACAGTATGGTGATTACCAGAGGGAAAGAGGGTTTGTGAGAGGTAGAAGGGGATATGGGGGGGGCGGGGGGGATAAATGGTGACAAAAGGAAACTTGACTTGGGGTGGTGAACACACAACACAATATAGAGACGATGTATTATAGAACTGTACATCTGAAACCTATATAATTTTATTAACCAATATCACCCCAATAAATTCAATTTTAAAATTAAATTACATAAAATATATTTTTAGAAAAGTTTAATGCTCAAGGTATCATTGCAACTAAAAGGTAAGAGTAGTGCTTAGGAAAATGCAATCATTGCTTCCCCATCTCCACTGTCTCTGGTAGGAAAAGTTGAATTTCAAAAAGCTCAGGGCAGAGAGTGTAATATTAACTATGACACAATAAAAGCAAAGCTTCACTCATGATCTAAGAGAATGCATTTCAGATTGGAAGGAAGGAGGGAAAACTAGGTTAAGAGGAAATGAAAATGAAGGGGCAAAGGGGATAGTAATGAATTCTTAAGCTGCCAATAACCTTAAAGTCCAAATATAAGTACATTTCCAAGTACTTTGATAACTTTAGATTTAATAAAACTGTGTTGTTATGCAGTGAGAATGGAGATGATATTAAAAGACGAAAAGGAGTCAAAAACTGTTTTGATTTCCTAAATGGAAGAGGGGAAAGCCATAGGTTGTCGAGATGCTAGTAAAATTTTAGAATGAGAGAGGAAGCAGTGACAGCCGAGTTTTATTAAGGGAAAAATATGCCAAGTTTTAATTGAGTTCTCAGAACTTATAAAAATAATTGTCAAGAACCAAGGAATCTCTAAGATTTAACATTATTTGTGAGCTACCAAGTAGACTGCCAGTTAGACGCTGACACATGGCACAAGAATCCTAGTCAGAGACAAAGTACAGTTCATTACTCACAAGGACAGCGCTCTCCAGAGTATTCTCATTGCTGTGCCAGTTTCCTGAGCCCAGGTTCTGCAGGAGTGATGCAAAGAGAGATAAACAACACCGACACATCCGGTGGTTGCCTCTCAGGGAAAGGACTCCTGGGCCTAGGGAACCTGAGACTTTTATCATGAGAAGTAGGCATGTCTACCATTTACTCCAGAGCTAAGCACTGTCTTATCTTCCAAGGTGTGTGCTATGCAACTGCTTTGCGAAGATAGGAATGTGCAAAACACATGAGCGCTCCATGGAGAATTTTCTTCCATCGGTGTTAAAAAAAAATAGTAACAATTGCTATCACTCATTGAGTGTTAAATGAGGCCATAGAGATAAGTTAACTTCTAGATTATGTAGTATTTAATATATGAACCACAAGTAAAGATGAGAAAAATCCATGTGAAGTGCCCATAGCCATTATAAAGGAATTTGATATGTCCCTGCAATATCCACATGAACGAAATGGAAAGAGGTGAACGAGACCATGTACATTTTAATGGGTTTATATTTGGCTGAACTAAAGAACTCGGAGTATTGATGTCAGACAGGAGAGACACTGCAAGTGGTGCCCTTGGAAAGGTCTCTGTCTCTTGCCCTATTCTTGTATTACAATGTTATCAGTGATTGGAGTGAGAACATAAGTGGCAGGCATATCAGATTTATGGAGGGTAAAAGACTGGATGAGACAGCCAATATTTGGAGGAAAGACATAGCATTAAGAAACAGATGTCCTGAAATTTTGTCTGAAACTACTAAGGAGAAATTAAATCGCTAAATATAAATTTCTGTACATAGTTTCAAAAGCCATCATCATTGCAAACACATAACTATAGAGACTTAGCCTAAAAGCCTCCCTTGTTAGAAATACATAGATTGGTTAGTTTAACAAATTACCCAACCTTCTTGGGGCTTTATTGCCTCATTTTATACAGAAGATGTTTAACCATATTATATCCATCTTCCCATCTAACTCAAGCATGCTAAAAATATTTATAAGTAATTACTTGATTAAGAATAACCCAAGGCAATGATTTTGTGAGGTATTGATAAAACTACATATTCCAAAACCCAGAAAATAGTAGTCCCCTTGTACTGCCTACTTGAGCATTACATTCATTCCAACATGACCCACTTTAGTGAAGATATTGAAACATGGATAGACATCTATATGAAAGTGAAGATAGAAATATAGGGAGAGAGCGGGAAACCATGATTTTCTAGCTGAAGTTTAAAACATTAAGGAATTGAGAGAATGTTTGCTCTGAAATACAGAAGACTTTTTAGAGACATGGTAACAATCTCTAAATATTTGAAAGGCTTTCATGCCACAGTAGAAAGAAATCAGGTCAAGGATTTATTGAGAAGTGTCAGGAAGGGAGATTGTGTTCATTCTAAATAAGAATGTGTTGTATATGTAAGTTGGTAATAGATGAAATGAGCCTCAGCAGTCGTGGACTACAATTTTTGATGTGTCAAAGCACTAACCAGCACTGGCCAGGTAGTTCAGTTGGTTGTAGTGTCATCCTGATGCACCAGGGTTGTGGGTTCGATCTCTAGTTGGGGTGTATACAGGAAGCAACCAATAGGTGCATGGATGGGTAGAGTAGCAGATGGATGTTTCTCTCTCTCTCTCTCTCTCTCTCTCTCTCTCTCCCTCCCTCCCTCCCTCCACCCCTCCCTCCCTCCCTCCCTCTCTTTCTCTAAAATCAATGGATGAAAAAAATTTGAAAAACTAAAAACCACATGTCAGCATATTATAGAGAGGCTCCTGCTTTGGACAAAAGATGGTACTTATTGATCTCAAGGGCCCCTCCTCCTCTAAAATTATATGAGTCAATGATTCCTTAAGCCACATTACCTGACAGAGTAATACTGAGAACTGGTGTTGAGAAGACATTGATTGGTCTTAGTCCCAGCGATAGCGCTGTTAGTTGTGAGACTTTGGGCAATCCACTCAACATCTGGGGACTACATCTTCACATGCCAACTGGTAACTTGGGTTCATTTATCCATTTGTTTGTTGATTACAATCTTGTCGGAGAAAAGATTTAAGGCAATTAAAAAGAGAGATGTGAAATAAAGATTTTGGTTCTTTAAGGGTTTATTTTTTCCATTTAGGCTCTCATAATATGAAGTATACAAGGAGAGAGATTTCATTTTAAATTACTGTAGAAATACAATTCTATAGTCTGTCTGGTCACTTTTGAAAGAATGAATTTACTGTACTAACTTGAATTATTCCCAAAAATCATTTGGAGGAAGTTTAGCTCTAGGGTGTCCTTGTTTTTAAGTGATATTTTTGAAGTATTTTTTCAAGTTAGGTCCCCAAAACACAAAAGTACTTAAAACCCTGTGAGACCAATGGCAAGTGTTACCAGAAAGCATGGTTACGTAACCTCATAAGTACTGTTTCTTCTCATTCCATCCTGAAATTATCTGTACATGAATTTCAAAGGAAGTCACCAAAGGCAGACCTGTATCTGAGGGAAGGGGATCAAAGGGATGCTGGCAGACCCACTGTTATCATAAAGACCTCCAGTCTGGCAAGATCAAAGTCTCAGTATAAAGAGCATGTCTTCCAATTTGGTTCTGCCTTAACTCCCATTCCCCCCACCCCAACCCCCTAAAAAAACTCCAAAAAAAACTGTTCAATTTTAGATCTGAAATCTCAGAGTACATACACATAAATGCTATGGAAATGTCACTGGTGCTGTTCTCTGCTCTCCTAGGCCACCCATGGAAGACACCCAGACACTCCTGACCCCTGTGGTGAGCTGTGGGCCTCCAGGAGCCCTGCTGACCCGCCCAGTCATCCTCACTATGCATCACTGCGCAGATCCCAACACCGAGGACTGGAAGATACAGCTCAAGAACCAGGCAGCACAGGGGCAGTGGGAGGTGAGCTGCTGTTGGGATAAAGATGGAATTCAGGAGCAGTCCATGCAGATAAGCGGGACCAAGCATGGGAAGGCTTTTATTTTTCAAAGAAAACATGGATGGAATTTTATCTTACACTCAAAATGAAAGAGAGAGAAAGTGGAGGAAGGGGATAAAGAGAGGGAGAAGGCGGGAGAGAGGCAGGAAGGGGGAAAGACAGATAGACTGTTTATTGAATGCTTTATCTGTTGACTGGTAGACACAGAAAATTATGGTCAAGCATGAGCTAGCTCATAGGGAAAGTGCCCTTAGGAATCTTACACATTTTGGAATATGCATACTATACTATTCAGGAAGGGAAATTTCTTTATATACACTTTGATTACAAAGTCAGTGTTTATGAACATACAGTTCATTTTCAAAATGGGAAAGAATCTCCAGAAATGAATAAATTATTTTTAATCAATGCCTGTTTTCAAACCGATGACCGTTCTGGTCCAGGCACTGTTGATAATGCGAAGCAATGGAATCACAAACATCAAGCATCATTTTGTTCCATATTTGTGTGTCCTCCATTCATCAGCGGTTGCCGGTTTTATACCGTAAACTTTATCTTTTATGTGTCCCCATAAAAAAATCTAGTGCATAAATTTTCTTTGTTCAAAGCTTAGTCTGGCTTCACCCATTATTTAAATCAGTTAACCCTGAAAAAGAGTGAAAATTAAGTGAGTTATCAGCTGTTAAAATGTGTAGACATTTTGGGGGGGTACTTTGTGTCCCCAGAAATGTATACACACTTTGAATAATTATAAAGGTAGTATTTGAACTTCAACTACATTTTCAAACTTCCAGTAGCGTTTTAAGATATGCTTCCTCTGTTCAAAGCTTAGTCTGGCTAAAAAGAAAAAAACATCAATTGAGCTATCAACTATTAAAGTGCGTATACATGTTTTGGTGAATATATATAAATTTTAAATTTACAGGTCAAGAAACATTGCACCTGGCTCAGACAGTGTTAGGCTCTTACAGAAACAGTCTTCTGAGCTCCACTAGAACGAAGCACACCTGTGGCATCTTGTCTCTTTGTGGCTGTTGCCACCCTAAGTGCTTGAGGACAGTGCCTTAAGAAAATCCTGTTCTTGACATCAGAACCCTTCAGTTAGCACCTGCAGTTAAGTGCCGGAGGATTTGTTATGTTTCCCATGAAGGTTTTAGATCTAATACCTTTTTGAACGTTTGTATATTTTCATTATTATCCCTTGAATAAACAGTGTTGTTTATATGGAAAATAGCCAACTAAAAATTACATTTTAGATTATTCTCAGGAAAACACATTTCAGGAATGTTTTTATCAAAAACATAACAATTTTTTAAAATTGAATACTTTTAAAAAGCTACCCTGTATTTTTGTGTAATCATTACAAAGACAAGTATCCAATCTATATGTTACGTATTTTGTGATTACATATCATATTTTTCTTTTAGGAAAGAAACATTTGAACAAACTATACATAATATTTTAGGAAAAAGTCATATTGGACTTAGAACAGCAGCAGGGCATCCCTGGATTAACTGGAATTTCCTTCTATGGACATGTTCTTTCAGCCACTTGAGGGGATCACTCCTTGTTAGAGGACCTCCAGTCCAAGATTGAAGTGTAGGAATATCCTCTATGTTAAGACCAGACTTAACCAAATCTAACTTTAATTTAATTAAGCTTTAAATAATTTATCTCAAAAACATTCCAAAGTATTAGTTCAAATTGCACAATTAGTGCCCCAAATTGCACAATTCTCTACACAATTACACTATGTCTGGGTAATGTGAATAATAATAATTTGAGTAATAATAATAATAACATCAATACTAATAAAAGAAAGATGTGAAGAGAAGAGGACAGTCCTTATGCAAACACTTATATTTGGGACAGGGACAGGGACATCTATATTCTTGACCATATCCTCCAGGAGGCTTTCTGTAACATGCCGTTAGTAGATGATGCCCAAGCTGGTGTTCACCCTGCTAGAGAAAGCAGCTGCTTTCCAGGTGTCCTTTCGGGCGGGAATAAACCTGGAGATGCTGAGCTTTTCCCATTCAGGTTGAACTTCATCTTCGGGTACAGGTTCAGTTGAAGAAACAATTTCATGGATGCTATGAAAAGACCTGGAGCTCAGATGACGTTGCAAGGCCTAACTAAAAAACAGCCACCTCAGGGGGCTACTTCTTTCATATCTTTGTCCAGCCCCAGGGACTCAATTTATGTTGAAACATGCCTTCATTTTTTGGACAAATAACCATTTGCTCACCATCAGCCAGGCCCACTGAGACACAGTGGGAAGCAAAGTAGATATAATTCCTGCCTCTGTGGAGATGAAGTAGCCTAATGCAGAGGGTGAGCTATACCTGCACATGTATTTTATTTCTCCCACGTGAAATTTTCTTTTAAGTTTGAATTAATGAAAAGGACGATTTCACATAAAAATCTAAACTTCCAGTTTCTCTTGAAAAATTAAAGGCTGTATGCTCAGTAGCCCTAAGTTTATGCAAAGCTACAAAGGGCTGAAGCCAAGTGGAGACTCAGCTCTTTAGACTGTGCTCTGCTTTGCCACAGTCTCCACCACTCCTTATTGTCTTCCTATTACCTTGATGCTTTGGGAAGCATGTGGAACTGTGACCCTTGGTTTATGGATTCTATGCTTGCTCTTTCAGATAATTTCTGTTGCCTGTGTCATTTGGATAAATTTAAAACTGTATGACCCAGTGGTTGAGTGTCAACCTATGAATCAGGAAGTCACGGTTAGATTCCCGGTCAGGGCACATACCTAGATTTCAGGCTCGATCCCCAGTAGGGGGCATATAATAGACAGCCAATCAATGATTCTCTCTCATCATTAATGTTTCTAGCCCTCTGTCCCACTCCCTTCCTCTCTCTGAAATCAATAAAAACATATTTTTTAAAAACTGATTGAGTTAGTAACTATTTTCACAAAATTCATCACTTCCACTTATTTTTATTTCTTGCTAAATATTTTCAACATCTAAGGAAAGATTATTTAAAGGCTTACATGAAAAATAACACAGAAAATTGTCTTAAAGGCATGGAGTTGGCCATACTGTACTTTCTGTAGAGTCCAGCTGGCCAAATTATTGAGGAAAAATAGTTGTTTTGCTTTAGAAAGTAATTGGCAGGTGAGTTTGGAAGAACATGGTAGAATGATATTGCATGATTCCTTAAGTTTTCTAATTATTTTCAAACCCTAGATTTTTAGGAAAAAGAAAAAAAAAATGACTGCTATAATTGCATTGAAATAAAATAGTACTTTTAGTCTCAAAAATATTTTGGAGATTAAAACATTGAATTCTCATAAACACATAATAAATACAGCTACACTGAAAAAAAAGATAATTCATGAATTTGCTTTGGAATTTGATGTAGAGTCTCAGATCAAAACATGCTAAATGAATGGCATCTAAACAAAGAATATAAGCAGTAAAGGCAAGGGAAGTAAGGGCGATAACAAAGACAGATGGAAATAGAGGGATAATAAAGCCTGGGAAAGAAAAAAAAGAGTAGGGAAATTCATAAGCAAATTCAGGAGAAGAGGGCCTACGGCCTCTACCACCATTGGTCGGCATCAGGGTCCTCGGTGCTCAGCCAGGATCCCTTCCCTCTTGTCCCACAGGATGTGGTGGTGGTGGGAGAGGAAAACTTCACCACCCCTTGCTACATTCAGCTGGATGCAGAAGCCTGCCACCTCCTCACAGAGAACCTCAGCACCTACACCCTGGTTGGGCAGTCCATCACCAAAGGGGCCGCCAAGCGCCTGAAGCTGGCCATCTTCGGGCCACTCTGCTGCTCCTCTCTAGAGTACAGCGTCCGAGTCTACTGTCTGGATGACACCCAAGATGCCCTGAAGGTAAGTGGCTCCTGCCTGACCTGCCCTCTTCACCTTCACCCCAAAGGTTGGCTGCGCACACCTAGAGTAAGTGTGTGTGTGTATGTGTGTGCGTGCGCGCGCACCCCAGTGTGTGGACACAAGTGTTCGGCCTCAAAAGGTGCAATTTTTTTTAAAAAATGAGACATTTCTCTAAGACCAGGCTGATAAATGAGCTGTTTCCACTACACTGATCCCTCCCAAGGGCTACTTTTGTTTACCTTCCTTGATTTTCTTTAATGAAAAATTAAGAAGGGAGAATTTGGCAAGGAGACTTGTGGCTGGTAAATAATCTGCCTCCATGTTTATCTCAGCTGTGTTCTTCCTATAAAAGGAATTGGCATAATTGCTCACACTGTATGTTCCTCTTGTGTGCTACTGCATTTATATGCTTTCCCATTCTTTTTATGAGGACTGCAAGGGAGAGGGTTAGCATTTGACAACAGGCTGCTGCTTTGCAGAATAAATAAGCTTAGTACCTGGTGCCATTATGCCATTCATTTGATCCCATTTGAAGCTGTAAGGGACATAGTAAGTGCCTTTGGAGAAGTTACAATCTAAAAGGAGGAATAAAGGAAGCATGCCAAGGACTAGGAGACAAGTCAGAGTGTGATAAAGACCACAGATGAATGCAAAGTTCTGTGGAAGTTCAAGAGAGGGAGGCAACATATTATTTTAAGGAAATAGGAGAAGCTAACATTTTATATTGGCCCTAAAGAAAATATGGTTTGACCAGCAATAATGGGGAAAAAACTATAAGATTTCTAGGTGAAGGGGACAGCATGAAGAAACGGAGGGGACACTGAATACAGACTCTATGGGTGCATAGTAGAATGACAGACGGGAGTTTTATTGGGTGAACCTTGACTGCCAGCTAGAGGAGTTGAGATTCAGTTTCTTCAGTTAATGGGATTCACTGGAGAAATTTAAACAGAAGAAAGACATGATTGGAAATAGATGTTAAAATCTTAGTCTGATGTCAGTGGAAAGACAGAGTCAAGTTAAGAAGAAAAGCATGGAAGACCTGGGGTGATGACAGAGGCATGAGAAGAGGATAGGTGTGGAAGGTCCTGTTCAAGTAGCTCTTGCAGGACCTGCTAACGAACACCGAATGCGTGGAGCAAGCCTGCCTCCAGTCACAATAGCAAACCCAGGTGGTCGGTAGCAGCTCGGGGTGTGATATGGTGCCTTTGCTTTGGGTGTATTGAATTCAAAATAGGAATTAGATATCAGGACAAAAATGCCCACGGCATAGAAATATGGGTGTGGCTCTCTGAACAGAGTAAATCCTGAGATAGAGACTCAGGAACCAACTGTATATTGATAGTTGTCATTCATGGTGATAAAAAGTAATATCAAGGGAGAGTAGAGGGAGAAAATAATAAAAATAATAAACATTACTGAGAACTTGCTATGTGTTGGACAAGTTTCTAAATATTTTTTATTAACCCACATAATCTTCACAACAGCCCTATAAGATAGCATTATCCCATTTTTTTAAAAATATATTTTATTGAGTTTTTACAGAGAGCAAGGGAGAGGGATAGAGAGAAACATCGATGAGAGAGAAACATCGATCAGCTGCCTCCTGCACACCCCCTACTGGGGTGCCCGCAACCAAGGTACATGCCCTTGACCGGAATCGAACATGGGACCCTTCAGTCCGCAGGCTGCCGCTCTATCCACTGAGCCAAACCGGTTAGGGCTCATTATCCCATTTTTAAAAAGTGCAATCCAAGGCACAGAAAGGTTAAGTAAGTCACTCTAGGTCACACAGCTATTGAGTGTAGAGTACAAGCCTCATTCCCAGGCCTCTGGCTGCAGTCTGGACTCTCCAATCCTAACGTGGGTTTCTCAAAGGGCCACTTCCTTGTTTAAATGAGGCATGCAGCCCACAGGCCTCGAGTTTGACATGCCTGCCCTAGATCGTAGGGACCAAAGGGGAGCCCTGGCTTTGCAAGGGAGGATGAATGGAAGCCTTCAAAGGAGCTTCTGAAGGATGAGCACCCAGAGAAGGAAGACGAGAAGTGGAAGAAAAATGTGTCAAGTAAGGCAATTTTTCTGAAAAATCAGGGTATTTCCTTCCGGTGTTTCTATCCAGAGAGTATTTCTGGGTCATGAAGACTGAGTGTGGCAGGTTGGGTCCATGAAGAGAATGAGACAGTCAGTCACTGGATATGTTTTTGATGGTTGAGCCTGTAGGAGTTTCTGATGTTGAATAAATGATGTGAACACACAGCTCAAGTGTAAAGCCTAAGGTTATTTCTTTTATATTCTTTGCAAATGTGATACTTCTAAGGCTCTGTCAGGATAGAAATCATCCTAGGCTTAAATTCTTCTTAGGGAAACGTGTATTTGTAGAGGAGTCGTGGGATCTGATTAAGGTGAATCTTTTTAATGATTCCAAGAAAAATCGTTGCAGAAGATGTACATCATACTTGAACTATTTGATACACGTATTTTGTATTCACACACATAGTTCTACACTCAGGCACTCTTGACCTTTCTTCCCAACAGACACACACAAATCCATGCAAACAAAATAATAGTCTATAAGTAATTTTGATTATTTTAATTAGTGGTCAACACCAAGAAAGACTGATGCACAGGTTTAAGCCGTGAAAACACCCAAGAGCAGTTTGTGTTGTGGTCAGTGCTTTCCAAGTAGACATCTATAAATTCTCAGCATCTGGGGATCCAGCACTTAGCCTGAAACAAACATGAATAATGGATAAGGCGTCTTATACCTCATGGCCTTTGGATAGTGCAGAAATGCCAAAATCCTAGTTACAGGTGAGCGGTCTAAGTTGAGTAACTTAACAAGGAGACAATTTGTTCAGCCACAACCAAACTGGAATTAGAAAGTGGGGGCCGATAAACTCAGAAAAAGGCCCTTCATTACCTCAGTTCTGCCTTTTTGGCACCCTGCCTGCCAGGGTTCCCTACCAGTCTCTCTACCATATCCCTACTTCTCTATTGTCTGCTATCCATAAACACTGTCTTTTGCAAATACCTACTCCTTCTTTAGCCCTCCCCCCCCGCCCACTTCTCACTTATGCTCTTCCTAAATCTGTAGTCCTCTATCCCACACACATAGGAGCCTGGTGGGGAGCTTTAAAAAAGATTTGCTCTGGGATCCCAACCCAAAAGTTCTGATCTAATTGGCCTGGGTATTGGTTTTTGTTTGTACAGTATTTTTGTTTTCCGCATTTCCTGGATAATTCCATTGTGCAGCCAAGATTCAGAACTATTATCCAAAACACTTTCACAGGTCTTTTTGGAACTTTAACCCTATTAAGGACAAACTTTCCTACATCCTCAAATCATTCTCTCCCCCGTCCCTTTACCTGTTCACATTAACTGCAACATGACATTTCTCACAATCCCTACAGTCAGGACGACACCCTCTAACTAACCACAGGACCAGGAGGGAAAAGTGCCAATACTTCTCACACCCCATGACCACTTCTGGGGCGTCGCTGTATTTCAGGGACTAGTTCTCTGTCCTGTTATTATTTCTTCTGTTACTCTGTTATTCATTACCCATTTTAGTTCCTTGGTGCAGAATACCCTTAATATATAGGGTGGGGCAAAAGTAGGTTGTAATTTATAAGTAACAATGCAAGAGTAAACTCTGTGTTTCCCATACTCACAACTGTAAACTTACTTCTGCCCCACCCTGTATATCCCCACGCTAGCAGTACCTGCCTTGTGTTGTTGTTTTTCTACCCATTTTATTCCCAGCATCCTCTCAAATTCAGTCACCACTTAATCACAGTTCCTTTGCCCAGATTTATTCTAGTAGCTTTCACATCATCCCATATTATCTATCCACCAGTGTAGACACACTCTAGGTTTAATCCTCATTACAACCACACCCAGGTCTCCATTTATGAAGCTGCTCCTTTCTGACCACAATCACATGACCTTCCAGCTCTTATACACAAGGTGCAAGCAACTTCCCTCTGTTCTTAAGGAAGAACCCCCTCAACCTTTTGCAATCTCCTGGTCCACAAACCCTTATCTGCTCATATCCACATCCACAGTGAACTCACTCCCACTCTGAAATGTCTTACCATCTGGAACTGCTGCAGGTTTTTCTCATTTGCATAGCTAAAGAGGACCTCCACCGAACGAGCCTTCAACTTCTACTTCCAGGATGTTGAGTTGCTCTAAAAATTCATAAATTGCTAATTGAGTCTATTATAATCTCAAGATATCTGCCCTGATTCTCCACAATCCTTTCATTTATCATATATATATATATATATATATATATATATATATATATATATATATATAGTTTTTAAAAATATTTATTTTTTTTTTTAAGAGAGAGAGGAAGGGAGAGGGACAGAGAGAGAAAAACATTGATGCCCCCTACCAGGGATCGAGTCCACAACCCGGACATGTGCCCTGACCAGGAATCAAACCAGCAACCTTTTGGTGCACAGTATGATGCCCAACCAACTGAGCCACACAGGCCAGACCTCATTTGTCCCTCCTTGACACATCAGATTTCACAGAGCACTTCTTCTAAGTCTCTCCTGCTCTCTCCAAGTCCCTGATTTTATCACGGCCCCTTTGTGTTTCACAAAGACTTAACTCCTATTGAGCCACCCAAGGGATGCTCCCTCAGCCGCCACTGTCCTTCACCCTTGAAACCTTTCATTTCAGCCTCTCCGCACCTAGTCTGGGCTCTGATGAAAAGGAGCCCCGCTTCCTTGTTTGTGCTTTAATTCTCTCATTCCTCTACCACCTGCACCTCCAGCACAGCAAATGCTGCCCCAAAGTGGGTCTCCCCAGACTTGATATTTTCTTACAGTTATGGCTGTGCACTGGGGATTCTTTCTGAATTGCAGAAACCCTCACAGAATGCTGGGCTAGGGCAGAGTGGGGAGCCCAGTGGAGCTCTCCTTCTAAGGCTAAGGACCTCACCGTCCAGAGAGCTGTTGGGAGAAGATGATGTCTGGAGCTGAACA